CAGGTTGTAATGTAGTATGGATTGCACAGGTGGTATTAGTTGTGTGTACAATTAATGGTGTGGAGCAGGCGTTAGGTAGAGTGGCATGTATTGTTTGTACAGTGATTAGTGTAGTGCTAGCTAAGGTGTAGGAGCAGGTAATGCTAGTATATTTAGTGTTATTAGCAGTATTATGTTTAGTCTGCTTTTATGCAGAGCCTTATATAGTAATAGAAGTTACATATAAAGCTTTTTTAGTGCAATTACCTTTTCTTATGCTATATTATACAGCTTCTAGGCTTAGGTACCTTTATTGCCTAGCTATAGTGTAATTTGTTTGTTCTCTAGCACTTATATAAGCTCTCTTTTAAATGCGCAGCTAAGTGCTAAGAAGTCTTATAGTGTCTATTTTTTAAAATCCTTTATATATAAACTTAGAAGAGTAGCGCCCTTTTAAGTTATTATATAAAGATTAGTAATTATATAACTTATATATAATTAAGTTTATAAGCTTATTAAAGCCTTTAACATGTTAATCTTATTATTTTAGTACTCTAGGCTAGTCTTATTTTATAGTATTACCTTTAATATTTTTATGTCTTTTATAAGTTATTTATATAATAAAAATTATTTCTTATTCTTCTTATTATTACACAAAGTTGTTAGTTACTAGTAGGATTCTATTATAATAGTATAGTTAATTACTTTTTTAGTAGATTACACAAGTACTGCTATTATCTAGCTACTAGGTTATGCAGCTTTAATAGCTTTAGTGTGCGCCTTGCACTATCTCCTTCTTACTTTATACAGTAGCAGAGCTTGCTGTATAATGTAAAGGATTAATCTACTATTGTCTAGCTGCTAGGTTATGCAGCTTTAATAGCTTTAGTGTGCGTCTTACACTATCTCCTTCTTACTTTGTACAGTAGCAGAGCTTGCTGTATAATGTAAAGGATTAATCTACTATTATTTAGCTGCTAGGTTGTACAGCTTTAGTAGCTTTAGTGTGCGTCTTACACTATCTCCTTCTTACTTTATATAGTAGCAAAGCTTACTGTATAATATAAAGAATTAATCTGCTATCCTAAGAAATAGGTAACTAAACAAAGTACCTTATAAAGCGTAGGTGCTCTGTTGTTACTTTTCCTAAGAGATAGGTAATAAAACAAAGTACTTTATAAAGTATAGGTACTTTATTATTACTCTTACTAATTTATAGTTAATTAAATTAACTACTAATTAGTGTTAAATAGGCTCTAATAGCTAGCTGCTTATAGTATAAGCACTTAAGTAGTAAAAGTAAGAGTAGTGTATAGTGTGCACAGTGTATAAAGTAAGTAAAGTAAGGGCAACATGTTTCTAGTTCTATTGCTCTTATCTTTCCTTTATATAGAGAAAAAAGAGGATATCTAGATGTTTACGCACAGAGGTTCGCGCACAAGCATTATGTGACATAGATACGTGATCCTGCTTGTGCGCGATTGCTTGTATCCCGGCCGCAACGCTGCTGCTGCGTATAGACAAATAAGTAAAAAGTATATAAATAGTAATAATCTTATTATTTTTATAGTATTACTAAAAATAAAGTAAGTTATAGCTTTTATAGCTGTTAATAACTAGTAAATAGTAGCTACTAATAGTACACTTCTTTATATGCACATTAAAGTGCTTTAACTAGTCTAGACTAAGCTAATTAGTAGTCTAGCTGCGCTTAGAGATTATAATAACTTAATTTTAAAGTAGATTTTTTTATACTAGTTTAAAAGGTAGTTACTACTCTAGAAAATAATAAAAAGCAGAATAGCCTACTTTTTAGCATTAATGCCCTAGATAGCTGTTATCTACTTCTAGTTACTTAGCTAGACTGCTTTTAGCTATCTTTATCTCTCTAAACTTATAATAACTGCTCTAGTAGATATCTAGCTTATTATAAACTTTATTTTATTAAACTTATACATGTTATTATTCTAAATGCTATACTTAGCTTTAATATTCTTTATAAAGTTAAACTAGCTTTAAATTACTATAGAATTCTTATAAAAAGCTTTTTTATAGTTATACTTACACTTAAACTTTACTTTAAGCTTTAAGTAACACTTAATAAACATATTAAGCTAGTTTATGCTAATATAGCCTATATTACACTTAGCATGTAAAGAATTAGCTATATTAGCTATAGCTGCTAGCTAGAGGGGAAATTCTTACACATCTAGCTTAAGTATGTGCTAAATAATTACTTACTTCTTATTCTTATCTAGCTTTTATAAGTTAGCTATATAATTAGCTTAGTAAAGCTGTCTAGTATGTTAGTTACTTATTATCTTTTAAAAAACTCTATAAATAGCTGCAGTGTGTTACTTAAAAAGTGTTATGTTTTATTTAAAAGCTTAAAGCATAAGCTATATTTAACATTTTTTTAACATGTTTAACTAGTGTTATTAGAAATACATTAGTGTAGAAAAAGTAGTGTAGTAAAGTCTTAGCAAAAGTAAGCAACTTAGGTGTGTAAGCAACTTGCCTGTGAAGTACGTTATAGCTTAAGTATGTGCTTAATAATTACTTACTTTTTATTATTATTTAGCTTTTATAAGTTAGCTATAGAATTAGCTTATAAAAGCTATTTAGTGTGTTAGTTATTTATTATTTTTTAAAAAACTTTATACATAGCTATAGTATATTACTTTAAAAATATTATGTTTTATTTAAAAGCTTAATGTATAAGCTATATCTAACTTTTTTTAGCACATTTAAGTAGTGTTGTTAGAAATGCATTAGTGTAAAAAAAGTAGTTTAGTAGAGTCTTAGTAAAAGTAAGCAACTTAGGTGTGTAAGAAACTCGCCTATAGTGTATGTTAGTAGTACTTACTTTAAAAATTAGTAAGACAAGGCTAATAGAGCTAATTAAAAAGCCTTACTTACTATACAACATCCTTCTTCTATCACGTGGAGTGTATAAGGCGATATGTGCAGTTACTTGAATCCCTATAAGATTTGTGAGGGAAAAGTGGTTCCTTAGCATTGCTAAGAACCCATCGAATTTCGTACAGGACAATATTAGAAACGCTAGGAGCGGCCTAATCAACTAGTAACACTAAAAGAGATTGTAATTCTTGTTATCCAGGCGCTGTAGGTTAAAGACGGAGATTGGCTTCAGCCTAGGAAGACAGGAAACCAGGGCATTGGGATACAATTGATAGCTGCAGTGTTGGAGCAGAATTCGACGCGACCCTTTCGAACGCCAAAAAAGCCGGAAATAGGTCCGAGCTTGCCACACAACAACAACAACAACAACAACAACAACAACAACAACAATTCAAAGAACGACAACTCAACAGATCTTTCCAAAACCTTAACACATCCAGAGCCTATTTAATAACGCATGACGACACTAGGCACACCAGCGTCTTATCAAGAAGGCTTTGTCGAGACCAATGCACACAGCCTAGTTCAATTACAAATCCAGCCGTACCGGGCTGCGAGCATGGCCGAATTGACCAAACAGTTTTTGCGGTGATAATCGATTGTAATGTATCATTACAAGAGATAGACAAGGCTGCGGACCCTAGGCTAGTGCTACATGTGCATAAGCGGTAAGCTAAGGAGATGTGAGTATTCTAGAGCTGCGGTACTAAGTTCATAATCTCATCTATGGGTTGAGTGGTAGGTCGTTCGTTCATCGGACTGGAGAAATGACAACGGAAGCAAGACAGAAAGCTGGAGCGGAAGTTTGCCCCGCCCATCCAATGGGAGCGGATTTGCTTGCTGCTGTACTAGTAAGTCTATGCTGTGCTGCCCTAGCTACTAACAAGTACACATGCTAATCATGAACTCTCTATCAAGATCAAGGACGTTTTAGGACTTGTCCTGGTTACTGAAGATAGGAAAGTTTGCGGTCTTTCTGTTTATTAGAAAAGAGGCTATGGCGCTTCCCGTTGACCCAGCGGTACTCAAACTTGATACTAGCAGAATAGTAGTTGCGTGGGTGACCAGCACCGAATCTGTGTTGTTGTATGTTTTTGCATTTTTTGAATGTCGTTAGAGAGCGACACCACCCCGTGTTCCAGGCTATAGTCTAGTGACTATAACATTATATCGTTCTTTGGGAGGAGCTCAGCATGCGGAACTAGTCGCGTTTTTTGTACTGAAAAGATAAATCTTATCGTGCTATGTCAGACTGCGTCGCGAATGCGCTACTCTGGCACAATACTCTACGGCGGCCCTGAAATCCATGACATACAGTCAATGTGGATGTAGAATAGTTCAAATCTGAGGTATTATCAATGGTTGCGTCTGAAAGTCACCACTGCCCTAGCCTGACTCGTGTGAAGTAGGCAGCAAATCAAGTTGAGAACAATGGCGTACATGAAATGCCTGCCCAACTACCACTCTAGCCTCAGTGGCGGACGCTGCCTTCATGTGGCTAGTATGGGGCACGTGCAAGTAAGTCCCGTCTTCTGGATCGGGATACGTAAATTCCAATCTCGATGCGTACTCTCCCTCACCTTTACCCCCGACCTTAATGTTTGGCTTGCTACTTCAACCAACGTTAGTGGGCCTCATTCACTCCACCTCCCATCGCCTACACTTCGCTCGGGCGGCCTTTAGCGACTCCGCCATACTCCAACTACTGAAATTAAACGCTACGATGAAGCTCCTTCTTCTTCTGGAAGCTTTCCTTGCCGTGATTAGGCTCTCTACCCCTCCCAACAGTGACCATGATAGTAATTTAAAGGGCAATCTCTTACTAACTATGCTACTCAATTAACTTAAAAAGAGATGCCTCTGTTACTTTTACTAAATGCCTTGCCAACTTTGAGCGTGTGGAGGCACTCGCTGCTGCCGGCCTCCCAGATCTTGACTGTCCTGTCATACGACGCCGACGCCGACACGATCCAGGCCGAGTCGTGTGAGGTGACTCTCACACCTTTTAGCTGGTATGAGGGCAATTCTTCTTGTCTGATCTCTCTCGCTGCATTTACGCTATAACTTTTCCCAAGCATACACAGGCACGAAAGAGTTAGACGCATGGTACCCAGTAGTTTTCGGTCATTTACAAAAATAGTTGGTAAGCACAACAGGGCCGTCAAATACTACCAGGTCTCCTTTCCAGTCTCGTCCGACCCGTAATCCAGGCCCTTGGTCACCGAAGAGATAGGCTCCGCGCTGGAGGTTGAATCCTCCCGTCTCAATCCATCCTCGACTTGCGTTGATTGCTGTGCAGCCGTTCCTCGACGCTTCTTCCAGCACCAGAAACCTGCTACAACGAGTAAAGCAAGGACTCCAAGCGAAACTCCAACACCAATTCTAGCCTTCGCACTAGGCGACAACCCTCCCTTCTTCGTCCCCACAGACCCGGACACTGTACTCGAAGGCACCACCTGGCCTGTCCCGGCCTCCACCACATCTCCAGTCGGATACTTGATATTATACACCGGCTGGGTCGTCAACTTATCCTGTAGCCCTAGCATATGTGAACAGTTTGGCTGATTCGATACATTCAAATCCAACGAACACTTCTCATTAAACCCCATCGAACAAATCGAATCAATAATATTATACAACCCGTAATTACTCCCGACCCAGCTCCCTTGTTGGGCCAAACAACTCGCCACGAAATTCATACTATTCGCCGCGCTCAACGGTATCTTCCCATCGTCTGTATGTATCAACTCTTTACATTCCTCCGGCGCCAACTCCTGATACTCCATTGCGACCGCGCCGCCGGCTGTCGGCTTCTGCGTCGCAGAATAGCCGGTATAGAGGTAGTTCCAGGCGTCGTAGCTGACATCGTGGGCGCCGCCGGACTGGTCGATGCGAAGGAGTTTGACGGAGCGACCCTGGTAGGACAAAGAAACGCATACGTTGTTGCAGTCGACCGAGCCGGGCCAGTACGCGACGCGATTCGTATTGATTTTGCAGCCGAGGACGCCGATGGAAGACGAATAGCTGTCGTGGGGTGTGGCCCAGACGGCACCGCTTGACGCACTCGCGCGCAGGGTGAGGGTGGAGAGTGTAATAAACGGAAGGGCGCGCATGGCGGTAATGAGTGTCGCGATATGCTGAAAAGACTGATGTATATCTTGTATAGATATATTAAAAGGAGTGGACTGGTACCCGCGCATGAAGCGGGGCCGTGGACGCGTTGGGCATGCGGAGAGGCGTGGAGCGAGGTTCTGGTGAGTTTGTGCTGGATGTGAAGACTCCTGAAATCCTTGGCACGCCAAGGATTGTACAAGTGTACGAATCCAGAATGCAGCAACCTGGTCTGGCCTCAACAAAACCCCAGGTATCTACGGTACGTTCTGGGAGATATGAAAGATATGGTATACCATCCTCCCGAAGGGTGCCATTCTTAGTATCACTGTGGTATTTATATATTTCTTTCTTGATTCATAGAAGGTACCTACAACTACAAGATCAAGAACATAGCAGATCCTGTCCGATTTGACGTTTAAGGAGGGACTTTTGCAGGCATTTTACTCAAATACTAATATCGGTTTTGCCGCCAGCCCTGAAACATTAAAGCCTCAGTACGGAACTAGAACTAGAACTCTGTATTTAGAGTGCTGCGGTTAGCAGCAAAGCCTCGCTGCTTTTCAAATAATGTCTGCCACGCTCCCTATTTATCTATCTACGCATCTGCTCCCTCTTCTTTCTGTCAGTTCCTGCTGCTGATTCTCTTTCGCTTTCTTCCTCCGCCGCCATGCGGTCAAAAAAGCAGAAAATCTGCGAGCCTTCTAATAACACCTAACCTAGTTAAGGCTGCACAAGCAACAGAAAAGCTAGTATTAGTGACTAAGGAGACTCTCAAGCACGGTTTTGCTGTCCTGTCTACTTTCAAGTAGTGTCAGCTATGTATAGAGAGGTGGAATACGTAAGTGAGGATACATAATTTCCAGACTCAGACGCTAACTTTCTAGTTTCATGGCAGAGATTGTTCCATATGAACTTCGGGGACCCTTCACCCAAGCACCAACAGTCCCCTAGATCAAGGTGTACCTGCGCTGGCTAATCTGCAATTCTGATGGTACACTTAATGAGACAGCGCTTCCAACGAGGCGTAGTACTGTACGATTGGGCGTTTCTGAGGCCTGTGCGGGTGAGATTTTGAGTACGTTCGTATGGCAGGGAGGAGGAGAGGTAGGTGTACGTATTGTAACTGTTACAGCTCACGTGATCTGTACAAGTAGTACAATTTAATTAAAGTACATTATACTCTCGTTAAAACGGCTAATATTATTAACAAAGCTTGCTCTGCTTAATATATTCAGGTTTGCAGAACAAAAAGTTGAGTAGAATCTCCTCTTTTAGACGCGCTAGTTAGTTATAATTTCTTTAGATAAACCCTAGTAACGCTATTTCTCTGTTCTCTTATGTATTTCTTACATTCTTTTTTTTTAAAAAAAAATGTATAGTTAACATAAGTGCACTTTTATATTAATTTACACGTAGTTTACTCTAGCATGCATTATATAAAACATGTTTAAATTATAGTTAGTTGCGTCTATTCCACCTCTCTAGATACATTAGTATGTTGGGGATTAGCATTAGCTATATTAGTGTGTTAGGGATTAGCATTAGCTACATTAGTGTGTTAGGGATTAGTAGTTGCTTACACACCTAAGTTACTTACTTTTGCTAAAACTACACTATAATAAACTCTATTATAGCCTATAACAACCTGCTCTAGCACTATATAGTATAGTATAGCCTAGAATATTATTTAGATACTACTTCTACTTCTTACTTATATATTTATGTGTTATGCCTAGTTTAATTGCGCTATCTGCAGCGCCTTTAGAATAGCTTACCTACTTTAGCTTACACTTACTTTTTTACTTTTATTTTTATTACTACACACTTTAATTTTCTTTAAAGCTGTTAAGCATAGGCTTTTTTAAACTACTAAGGCTTTTTCTACTTTAATCTACTTTTTTTATATAATTTATGTTATGTAGCTGCCTTATTAGCTACTTAAAGCTTAGTAATTTTTTATTATACTAACACTAGCTTATACATAATTATTACTACTCTTTTTAAAACATTTTAAATACCTTAACTATAAAAGTTAGTAAACTATTTATATACTTCTAGATTTTTATTTTTATAAGCATTAATTGTAACTTAAGTTCTAAAGTATTACTTAAAGTTTATAACTACTAGAGCATATTATGTATAAGAAGTGTAACGATCCTCATGAATCGTTCCATCTCGAGTCGCCCGGAACCTCCGGAAGGCCCTCGTATCGGCCCCGACCTCGACCTGGCCCCAACCCCTGCTGTTACCCCTATTCCCTCATGTATTTAGTCGCACCTCGCCCCTGTAGCTAGCTCAGTAGTTTTCTAATATCCTTTCGTACAAGGCCTATAGGTGTTAATGGCATTCCCAGGTTCAGAGTCCCCACGCACTCCCATATGCCTCTGAGTGGATTCCCACCGCATTCGGACCCATTGTCTTGCCTGCGCCGTTACAAGAAGTAGTAGTAATAGAGTGCATAACTTTACATTAAGGCCTATTATAAGTTAAAAAGAACTAATTTAGCTTTTTAAAACCTTTTTTAGATATTACTAAAAGTTATTATAGTATTATAAGCAACTTTAAAGCATAGTAAAAACTTTATTTTTATAATATAAGTAATTTAGTTATGTATAAAGTTTTTAGCTTAGCGCTTATATATGTGTTTAAAAAAAGTAAAATAACCTATATTAAGTAGCTATAAAAGGTGTAATATGTAAAAAAGAATGTAAATAGTAATAATTTTATTATCTTTAGAGTATTACTAAAAATAAAGTAAGTTATTAGTAAAGCTTACTTTATTTAATATATTAAGTGTCGCGTATACTAAGAGCCTTAGCTAGGGCTCAGAGCCTAGGACTAGGGCTTAGAGCCTAGGACTAGAGCTTAGAGCCTAGGACTAGAGCTTAGAGCCCAGGACGCAGCTTAGGATCTGGAGATATTATGTTCTAAAGCTCAGTGTATATAAGGAGAGCCCTTAGCTCTCTTAGATAGCGGAGTCACTTTATCTAATCTTCTAAACAGCTACTGCCAGGCTATTTTATCCTCTACATTAAGTTTATAGAATAAAAAGTTAAGCAAAATCTTCTTTTTTAAATACACTAGTTAGTTATAATTTCTTTAAATAAACTTTAGTAACACTATTTTTTATTACTTTATATTTTTCTTATAATGTACTTTATAGGCAAGTTGCTTACACACCTAAGTTGCTTACTTTTGCTAAGACTTTACTACACTACTTTTTTTACACTAATGTATTTCTAACAACACTACTTAGACATGTTAAAAGAATATTAGATGTAGCTTATACTTTAAGCTTTTAAATAAAATATAACACTTTCTAAGTAACACGCTGCAGCTATTTATAGAGTCTTTTAAAAAATAATAAGTAACTAATGCACTAGATAACTTTTTTAAGCTAATTATATAGCTAACTTATAGAAGCTAGATAATAATAAAGAGCAAGTAATTATTTAGCACATACTTAAGCTAAATGCGTAAGGATTTCCCCCCTAGCTAGTAGCTATACCTAATATAGCTAATTCTTTACATGCTAAGTATAATATAGGCTATATTAGTATAAAATAGCTTAATATGTTTATTAAGTGTTACTTAAAGCTTAAAGTAAAGTTTAAGTGTAAGTATAACTATAAAAAAGCCTTTTATAAAATTTTTATAGTAATTTAAAGCTAGTTTAACTTTATAAAGAATATTAAAGCTAAGTATAGCATCTAAAATAATAACATGTATAACTTTAATAAAATAGAGTTTATAATAAGCTAAATATCTACTAAAGCAGTTATTATAGGTTTAGAGAGATAAGAATAGCTAAAAGCAGTCTAGCTAGGTAACTAGAAGTAGACAACAGCTATCTAAGGCATTAATGCTAAAAAGTAGGCTATTCTACTTTTTATTATTTTCTAAGGTAGCAACTACTTTTTAAACTAGTACAGAAAAAAAATCTACTTTAAAATTAGGTTATTATAATCTCTAAGCGCAGCTAGACTACTAATTAGCTTAGTTTAGATTAGTTAAAACACTTTAATATATATATAAAAAAGTGTACTATTAGTAGCTACTATCTACTAGTTATTAACAGCTATAAGAGCTATAACTTACTTTATTTTTAGTAATACTATAAAAATAATAAAATTATTACTATTTATATACTTTTTTACTTATTATAATTTTTATAGCTACTTAATGTAGGTTGTTTTACTCTTTTAAAAAAAGTGTATAAGCGCTAAGCTAAAAACTTTATATATAACTAGATTACTTATATTATAAAAATAAAGTTTTTACTATGCTTTAAAGTAGCTTATAATGCTATAATTACTTTTAGTAATATTTAAGAAAAGTTTTAAAGCGCTAAATTAGTTTCTTTTAACCTATAATAAGTTATAATAAGCTTTAATGTAAAGTTACACACTCTATTACTACTACTACTTATATATAATAAGCTTTAGTAGTTATAAACTTTAAGTAAGACTTTAAAACTTAAGTTATAATTAATGCTTATAAAAATAAAAATTTAAAACTATATAAATAGTTTACTAACTTTTATAGTTAAAGTGTTTAAAAAGGTTTTAAAAAAAGTAGTAATAATTACATATAAGCTAGTGTTAGTGTAATAAAAAATTACTAAGCTTTAAGTAGCTAATTAGGCTACTATGTAACATAAATTATATAAAAAAAAGTAGATTAAAGTAAAAAAAACTTTAATAATTTAAAAAAGCCTACACTTAACAGCTCTAAAGAAGTGTAAAGTGTGTAGTAATAAAAAGAAAGTAAAAAAGCAGGTATAAGCTAAAGTAGGTAAGCTATTCTAAAGGCGCTGCAGACAGGGTAATTAGACAAGGCATAACACACAAATATATAAGTAAGAAGTAGAAGTAGCATCTAAATAATATTCTAGGCTATACTGTACTATATAGTGCTAGAGCGGGTTGTTATAGGCTATAATAAAGTTTGTTAGAGTAGAGTCTTAGTAAAAGTAAGCAACTTAGGTGTGTAAGCAACTTGCCTGTGAAGTACGTTACCTAAAAGAAATAAGCTAGGTAATAAGGCATCTATTTTTAATAAAAAAAATAGCCCTATTATTACTAGATAGCAGCAGCCTTTAGAGACAAGTGCTAGTAAAAAGAGGTT